CAGTTCACCTTCGCATTGCACTGCCTGCCTTTTGAACAAGGCGGCTCTCATGAGGTATCAGGCTCCGGCAGCTTCATTCGCATTGCACTGCCTGCGTTTTGAACAAGGCAGCTCTCATGAGGTATCAGGATTCGGCAGCTTCATGCGCGAGTGACAAGCCGGTCAGACACCGACTTTGCCGTTCATTGATTCACGCTCTGCGCTGACTCAGATCAGTTCAATTCACATTCACGTTCGAGAGACACCTGCATTGACTTGAGTTGGACCGACAAGGCAGCTTTTGTGAGGCACAGGTCATGTGTGAATCACATTCACGTTCGAGAGACACCTGCATTGACTTGAGTTGGACCGACAAGGCAGCTTTTGTGAGGCACAGGTCATGTGTGAATCAGTTGTGCCTGCCCATGCCGCAGTTGTCTTTTATTGTTTCCACCCCTCTCTTTCCAGCCCTCTCTCTCCCTTTCGAGATGGCTGGACACCAGCTCCATGACATGATGCATTCGCTCCTGCAAAGCATTGCGACCGTGTCCGGCTCACCAGGCAGCGGTGGACCGAACCTGCAGTTGTCACCCCAGATGATGCAGCCCATGAACCTCGTACCTTCACCCCCCCACCCACGGCGGCCCCCCACGGCGGCACCCCGGCGGCTTCCCCCCTCCCCTCTCCACCCACCTGGAAGGAGCCTTGCGACCTGCTCCAACCCCCTCCCCACGTTTGCCAATGGCTCACCAGCAACTTCCCACCCGACATTTCCAACACCAAAGTCCAGCGAACGAGCCGCTGTGCTCTGGGGCGTACCAGTGCGAACCTTATCCAAACTAGGGTCATCGGCCCTGGGCCGCATCCTGGCCGCGGCAAGCCACTTCTACCAGTGACTCTCAACAGCACACCGACAACGACGCACAGCCCAGCAACACAATTTTTGGCAACACCACTGCCGCCAATTTCTCACTGTCCTCCGTTTCACTCTCCGGTTCTTCCCAACCGACGACGTCACCGCACGTCATTTTTGTTCCTGGCTACTCGCACAGCTTCAGCTACTTGACGTTTGCCATCTCTCGTGTGGCTCTGACCGACTGAAAGCCCTGCTTGCCCGACTCGGCCTGGACTCCCCCGCTTCTGATTTCTCATCTCAGCTTGTCCCTTCCGCGGTGTGTCTGAGATTCACCAGCCATCCCAAATGGCAAACCTTTTTCTATGTCGGTGCAACTCGCACCTCTCTCATGGCTCGGGATCACAGCCGATTCCGCAAACTACTTCAGGTTCAACGACACCAGTTGGTCAACGCCGAGCTGGCCGTTCAATGGTGGGCGCATTTCGATGTTTTCCACTTTCACGCTTCATTGCCCATCCACATTGCCGTCCCAGCAACAGACCTCTTCGCTACTGAGCAGTTCTACATTCAGGAACTGCAACCGTCTCTCAATTTTGGCTTCATCGAGAGACATTTTCGGCCACGCACGGGCTTCATACGACAATTGGACTTTTCTCAATCCCGGCACATGGGCTTTGCCACCATTTGGCGAAAGCGCCGCAGACTACGACTACCAATCGCTCTGCAACAAGCTTTCCTAGCCAAGCGCATGAGCAACAGCCTGGACTTGTGGCGCCTTTTAGGCGATCTCGGCAGCAACACCCTACGACGATTCGACGCCATCCGTTACATACGGAGCAGAGACTTCCCACACGCTGCCCTATACATCCTTCATCGCATCGCTACGCACTTACCTGAACCACACCACCAGGCATGCATCTCTGCCATTCGATCCGGCCTGCGCTTCCGGGGCCTAATTCCACCCGGCCCCTCCAGACCGATGCTTGCGCCTTTCTTCGCACATTCCTCCTTTCGGACTTTGCTTTTGACCCAGCTCCGCGGGTTGGTCCGATCCACCACCCGCTGTGCTCTACCATTTCATGTGGCGCAACCACGCATCGTTTTCAAGGCACACCGGAAACTATCCAGTGCCTTGTTCTCACACCTCCAGGCAGCTCAAACCTGGAGTGTCGGCGAGCTGTCCTGCACATGTACCGACCTCGCCAAGCGACACCCATCCCTCCCGAAGCATGAGGGACACCTTCTTTTTTCTGGCTCTGACACTCATGAGCTGTTCGACCCCGACATAGTCAGCATGCTTTCTGGTTCGATGCGAAACTCCTTCTTTCCTCCACGCGGGGTCTTGATGAATCGTCTGACTCAGGCGTTTCACCACTGGGCCAGGACCAACAACCTGCCCTCGCTTGATCCATCAACCCTTTCCACTCTTGTCGATTTCCATTTCGACCTCCACCTTCCTCACACACCACAGTACTTTCTACATGCCCATGTTCAACAGGCTCTAACAACTCTGGAGCCCCTTGTCCGCCATTGCCAATATCATGCGGACTCCCGACTCATGCTCTATTGCCCCGCTGTGTACGGCAAGATGCTGGACGCCACATTCACGGATCCTGCCATCTTTGCTCCCTTGCGAGTCCCCTCCATTGAGATCCATCAACGGCAACGAGAAAGCATCGTCAGCAGATTCCGCGGTCGCTATCCATGGGCCGTGACCGGCTTTGGACGGCCAGCAACTGCCTACATCCTCCCCAAGAGGAAGAAGAACTGGACCACTGCTCGACCCGTCATCAGCTTCGTCGGCGCCTTCTTCCGACCCATGCTTGACGCCCTCGCCAAACTGCTCCACAGCATGGTTGCCACGGCCTGCCCAGACGCATTTTCGGGTGGCGACCTCTTCGATCTCATGCGATCTTTGCATGAATTTCTCCGCCTCGGCCACACCCCTCTGGACTGTCGAAACCAGGATCTTTCCGGTTTCTTCACTTCCATTGACAAAGACCGCTTCTTAGCAGCCTGGCGTCTACTCTTGAATTGGCACCGACAGCGGCAACCACATTCTATCACCACACACCTCACTGTGGACACACTTGACACCTCTTCCACCACACGCGTCTACAACGGACGCCGTCGCCGACACAAGCCAGCACAACGCACTCTGTGGCTTGACGACATCCCCGAAATCATCCAAGCTACCCTTGACATGCAGATCTTTTCTGTCGGCTTCCGTTCCTTCAGGCAAACACGCGGGGCCCCGATGGGATCCCCCGCATCTCCTGCTTTATGCCTGATGGTAATCGCGGTCGCCGAGCAAATTTGGGCCAACACCCATCCTACTTCAGGACCTCGCTCCTATGAAAACGCCCTCCTGCTCCGCTATGTGGACAACAGGCTCGTGGTCGCAACTCCTAGATGGCTTTCGACCCCGGCAGCCCACATCTTGTGTGACGAACACTTCTACGGAGGAGACATCATTTTGGAGACAGAAGCCGCCCTGGATTTCTTGGGTTTTCGACTGGACCTTGAGTGTGGCACCATCTCCTTCATCCCCTCGTATGAGAAGCACAACATGCTCTCCATCAAGTCGGCCGCACCAATGATGCACAAGGAATTACTCCAGACGTACGCTGATCAGCCGGGTTTCCTTTCCTGAGTTTCAGCGAGATCACGATCTCACATTGTTGAAGAAGTTGTACCACCAACACGGTTTCACCTTGCAGAAAGAAGAAAAAACGCACCGGCCTTCCTTTGCCACTATTTGAGATTGCACCCACTTTTTCACTCTTTGCCCACCGGTAGATTCCCACATGACCTGTTTTCACACCGCAGCTGTTTGACATAAAACCTTTTGCGATTATGGATCTTGACACAGCACGCCAGCTGCTTCAAGACTTTGAACTCATCCTCGGCATTGCCCAGCAAGGCATTGCCACCATTCGCGAGTTCACTGAGGGTCCGGATCGCACCGGAAGCTCCACTCAATCTCACCGTAGAGGACCTGACCAATTCACCACCAACACCTCTCCTGGCCCCCCCCGATGATCTTAATGAACAACTTCCTGATGATCCTGGCGAACAACTTCTCGCAGATCATGATAAACAATTTCCTGATCATTGGGCTCCACCCACTCCACCGTCTCCCCCTGACAAAAAACGAGCTCGTCGCACACATGACAAGACCTCCTCACGCTCTATGGCATCCAAACGTACCCGTGGACAACTCGAAGCTACCCCATCGACCAGGACTGATGCCGCTACTGAGGCTGATCCCGAAGCTCCGCAACCTTGGACTGAGGAGGAGATTGATCTCCTCCGTTCGCTTAAGATCAATACCAAGGCCAAGCATGCATGGTCTGTCATCGCCACGAGACTTTCCCGCACAGTCGAAGACTGCAAGACTCAATGGGCCTTGCCCCACTCGGGGCCTTGTGTGTGTGAACCGTCCTGGAGCCCTACGCAAAACTTTTCGCAGCAGGGGCGTGTGGCACTCTCATCCTACCACACGCAATGAAGCTGTGGGTGAGAGTGGGAAGCAAGGCCTGATCAGCCTTGTGTACCTGCCTTTCCTTCATTTTCCTGACTGTTTTACTGTCCTGTTCGCTGTTGCTTCCCGGTTTCTGTTCTGCATTGTGACCTGTCAAGCAATTTCAGCAGTTGCAGGTTTTTCCAACCTTTTCATCTCGGCTAGTGAAGCCTCTCGAGATAAGTGTGTGTGTGTGTGCGCGTGTGCGCGCGTGTGTGTGTGTGTGTGTGTGTGTGTGTGTGTGCGCGTGTGCGTGTGCGTGTGCGTGTGCGTGTGCGTGTGCGTGTGCGTGTGCGTGTGCGTGTGCGTGTGCGTGTGCGTGAGCGTGCGCGTGCGCGTGCGCGTGCGCGTGCGCGTGCGCGTGCGCGTGTGCGTGTGCGTGTGCGTGTGCGTGTGCGTGTGCGTGTGCGTGTGCGTGTGCGTGTGCGTGTGCGTGTAAGTGTGCGTGTGCGTGTGCGTGTGCGTGTGCGTGTGCGTGTGCGTGTGCGTGTGCGTGCAGATTCGTGGGGGTAGATTCCTGGGCTTGTAGGCAGCAGGATGTTCAGCTCCGTTCGCTCCATCTGCCCCGCTGTAAGATGCCTGTGATGGGCACTTCAACATTCCAAGCACGGAGCGAGGACTTATCCGCTCAGCCCTCGCCGCAGTTGCAAGACCTGGCCCGAGTGAGTTTGGAGACGGAGCCCGCCATGGAAGCCAAGATCGATGGGATCCTGGGCCACGGGGCTGCATCGTCCTTTTTTGTTTTTTGGTCTTTGACCCTCGAAATTGCAGGGTAAAGCGAACGAAAGCCAAGGGTCCGCTAGTTATGTGGGAATTCACCTGTTATGTCAATTTTTGGAATGATTGTGCAAATAATTGCAGGTCAGACATGTCCGTCACTCCCGAGTGACGTCCCGAGGCAAGATGGAATCTACCTCGGCCAAGGTGGACTTGTACAAAAGCAGCAAGGTGAAGCTTCCCATGGCGGAGCTGGACTATTTGAAGTCCCCTGGCTGAACTTTTTTCTTTCTCAGCTTCTTCAAGCTGCGTGAGTGCTCGCGGCTTGCCAGTGAAAGGGGAACCACCAGAGGGAACCTCGGGGCCCGCAGAAGCGATGGCAAAAAGCAAGCTTCTGATCACACCGCCCATCACGCCCTTTCCAGCGCTGGCCTGAGGACTTTGGAAGACGCGCGGGACTTCATGAATTCCATGGTTGCGGCAACCAACCAGAACCGCCAAGAACTGGCCGAATCCAGAAAGCAACTTAACCTCGAGTCATTTTCTTGGTAGCCGGCTTCAACTGGCACAGTCCAAATAGCAACTCAAGGAGTTGCCGAATGGCAAGCATGGGCAAGTCGGCAAAGTCACGGCGATGCTTTGGAACGTTCTAAAATTGGGCTCCGACTCCCAAGAGTTTTTTTTTTCTCCTTCGAAACAAACTTTAGAAGGGTACAATACGGTACAAAGTACAAACTCAAAGACAGACATGCCGATTTTTGCAATCGTCGTCGCATTCGAGGACATCTTTGGGGGCGATTGTTCTCGCATTGCCCGCATCCGAACTGTCCTCGATGCAGTGCAGCTGTCTGACATGAACTGCAACGACCAAAGGGCGGGATCCTCGGTCCGGGCTGACGGTGTAATGATTATGCGGTGGTTGGCTTTCACAGTCAACAACTTGTAAGCACATGTCGGAGGGTCAAGGGCAATTCAACTGCTCCTGGGGTTACGTCAGGGGTCCCTTGCGTAGTAATTTCCCACTTGGATTAAGGAATTAGATTGGCTAACATTCCATCCTCAGACCAGTTAGTTGCCTCCGGGGTTTTGAACATCTTGAGCAAGAGAGGCCCCTTGTTTTGCGCCTGGCTTCTGGGGCTACCATTTTGTGGTTGAAAAGAAGACCCTGACTTTTGGCCTTGGCCTAAGAGCCTAAGTGTGTCTTTTTCGGAGGGTACCATTTTTGGATGCTTATTTTGGGGGGAGCACCGGCACGCCTTTGGCACGCCACATGGGGTCGGGGGTTTTGTCCAGATCGAAGGTTCGGACCTGCACGGAAGCCTGCGATGCTCGGCGGCACGGCCTCCGCGGAACCTGGCGAGTTGATATCATTTGTGAACATGTCTTGGGAATGTAGGGAATTCGCCAGTGTTTATGGGACCAGAAAGATCGATTTCCTCTTGAAGGGGCCGTTTGTGCCATGGTGACAGGGAGGGCAGTTTTTTTCTTGAAACAGACAAGGATAATTTGAGACAGCCTTATTGTGGCGCTGCCGCCAAAGCTGGCAGTCGAACAGCAAACTGGGTCAAAGTTCAGAGTTGCTTTTCATTGATTTTGGGCGGGGGGCGACTCGGTTCGGCCACAAACCCGGAGACTCATATGTCCTTTGTCAGACCTTTTATTCCCCGCGTGCTTTACCATGCATCTTGTCCGGCCGGGAGTTTTGCGGGCAGAAGCCGCCTTTTCGCGCTGATCAGGAGACCATCGAGAAAGTCTTGGAGGATTGTTCGGTTTCTTGATGCGCTGGGGGTTTGGGGAAGGGGGGCGCGGGGAGGGAAGAAGGAGATCGGTTTTGGCCCACAGAGGACAGGGCGATGCGCGCGGTTTCCTTCCTATGGTTTCAAGTGCCCTCAACAAGGGGCCCGCCAATCCCACTTGAGGGTGATTGTAGTGGCTGGGTACCTTTTGGGGGCCCCTGGAATCAGTGGGAAGTCAGATGTGACAGGACATGGGCCTGGGCTGGTGCTTGAAGAAGGCCAAGGATGAGGAGAAGGCGAGAGCGCATCGACCTGTTGGCTCAACCTGGGCCAAATCTCAAACCAAACCCCCAGTGGGTTGCCTAAACAATTCTTCCTTGTTGTCGAGAGGGCTTTCCTTTGAAGTCAGCCAACTGCCCATCCATGGTTTGCGCATTCCGCACCGCGCCGCAGCGAGAGTGCAGATCTGAGTCACTGCATGCAGCCCGCCAGATCGGACGAGCCTGTGCAGTGGGAAAAGGTCAGCAGCACTGGCCGTTCTGCGCATCAAGTGCTCGAACCAAAATCAAACCCGAGCTTGCACTCTTACAGTGAGACCCCTGCAGCATGCAACAATATTTGGAGAAATCTCACACAAACCACGAACCCAGATTGATTGTTCAAAGCTACCGTCATGTGTCCATTTACCTGCCTGTTGACCCATTGTGTTCCATCTATTCATTTGCCTGCCTATTCATCCATGCATATTTGTACATGTATCTAACTACTTATCTTATTTGTCCATCTGTCTATCCGTCTGTCCACCTACGCATCTGTACATCTATCCACCTACGCATCTGTACATTTTTTTAATTATCTACCTACCTGCCTACCTGCCCTTGTCTATCTATCTCTAGTTAGTGTAATCCAATCCAATCCAATCTACTCTAATATATTCTATTTGTCTATTCTAACTTCATCTAGTCTCTTGTCTATCTACCTATCCATCCTTTGTTTTTTAAAATCTATCTATCTAATCTGTCTACCTACCTACCTATCTATCTATCTATTTATCTTTCTTTCTTTCTTTCTTTCTTTCTTTCTTATCCATTTATCTATCTATCTACCTACCTACCTAAATCTACTATTCTATTCTATTCTATTCTGTTCTGTTCTGTTCTGTTCTGTTCTATTCTATCTAAGCCATCTATCTACCTACCTACCTATCCATCTGTCTATTTATTTATCGTTCTTTCTTTCTATCTATTTGTCGTTCTTTCTATCTATTTATCCATCTATCGATCTACCTATCTATCTATCCAGCTACCTACCTATTTATCTATCTATCTATTTATCTATCTATGTATCAATCAACCTATCTATCAATCAATATATCTACCTATCTAATCTATCTATCTACACATCTATCTATCTATCTATCGATCGATCGATTGATCTACGTATCTATCTATGTATCTACCTATCTACCTACCTACCTACCTACCTACCTACCTATCTATCTACCTACCTCTCTGTCTCTCTGTCTCTCTGTCTGTCTGTCCGTCCGTCCGTCCATCTGTCCGTCTGTCTGTCTCTGTCAGTGTCTGTCTGTCTGTGTCTGTCTCTGTCTGGCTGTCTAGCTGTCTAGCTGTCTGTCTGTCTGTCCTTCTGTCTGTCTGTCTGTCTGTCTGTCTGTCTGTGTCTGTCTGTCTGTCTGTCTGTCTGTCTGTCTGTCTGTCTGTCTGTCTGTCTGTCTGTCTGTCTGTCTGTGTGTCTGTGTGTCTGTATGTCTGTGTGTCTGTGTGTCTGTGTGTCTGTGTGTCTGTGTGTCTGTGTGGTTTCTTTGTTGTGTGTTCGTTTGGGCGTGGGGGGGAGATGTGTTGTTGTGTGTGTGTCATAGTGTGTGTGTGTTGTCTGTGTGTCTGTGGTGTGTCTGTGGGTGTCTGTGTGTGTGTCTGTGTGTGTTGTTTTGTTTGGTTTGTGTGTGTGTATGTGTGTGTGTGTGTGGGTGCTGTGTGTGTGGTTCTGTGTGTGTGTGTGTGTGTTGTTTGGTTGTGTGTGTTGGTGTGTGTGGTGTGAGTCTCGTGTGTGGTCTGTGTGTGTCTGTGTGTGTGTGTGGGTGTGTGGGTGTGTGTCTGTCTCTGTCTGGTCTCCTGTGTCTGTCTCTGTTTCTGTCTCTGTGTCTGTCTCTGTGTCTGTCTCTGTGTCTGTCTCTGTGTCTGTCTCTGTGTCTGTCTCTGTGTCTGTCTCTGTGTCTGTCTCTGTGTCTGTCTCTGTGTCTGTCTCTGTGTCTGTCTCTGTGTCTGTCTCTGTGTCTGTCTCTGTGTCTGTCTCTGTGTCTGTCTCTGTGTCTGTCTCTGTGTCTGTCTCTGTGTCTGTCTCTGTGTCTGTCTCTGTGTCTGTCTCTGTGTCTGTCTCTGTGTCTGTCTCTGTGTCTGTCTCTGTGTCTGTCTCTGTGTCTGTCTCTGTGTCTGTCTCTGTGTCTGTCTCTGTGTGTCTGTGTCTGTCTCTGTGGCTGTCTGCCTCTGTCTGTCTCTGTCTGTCTCTGTCTGTCTCTTTAGGCTGCTGTTTTTGCTCACTGGGAGCTTTTCTTGTGAGCCATCCGTCAAACGGTACAAACGAGAGTGCCTTTGTGGCGTGCGCCGTATGGCAAACTATGTCAGGTGAGCCTGGTCCGGCGTCGCAGCAGCAGCTCGGCGGATGGATTTTAGCCCGTCCAATCACATAGGGGATTCCTCCTGTGATGAACTACCAAAGGGGACACCCTATTCTATAATCAACTAGGGGTTTACTATTCCGGGTTTCCATTAGAAGCCATGGCTGGTTTGGAGGCATAAAGCTCGCACGGGTGGTTGAAACACCTTTAGAAATTTTGTTTCAGGAAAGTCTCATTGGTTTCCTCTGCGATTGTTGATTGAAGCCTGGTTGCGAGTGAGCGTGGCTCTCGCTCTCCTCAGAGAGGGGGATAGAGAGAGACTTTAAAGGACCAGACCTCAAGAGCCGAACTTCAGTAAACGGTTTTTTTTCTCTTTCCCTTTGATGCTTGGGCAAACTTACCCCTCTAGTTTGTGGGTTGCTGCCCAGATGGTGGACACAGCCTCCCGCCTTTCTTTTGTGCCCACCAAAAGGCCCACTTCCACCTCAATCTCATTCCTTCTTCTTTCTGTGGCTCCTGGGTTTGGCCAAAGCAACCTTCAACTTTTGGGACAATGAATGCTCCCCAGCCAAATGCTTTGACACACCTTTTGCAACCAGCTCGGTTAAGGTGATCATGTGTCCAGCGCTCTGAGAAAGATGTCATCACTGATCGAGATTCAGCCAAGCTTTGACACTTTCATGCGGCTCGGGATTCCACATTCTCATGGACCAGCCAAAAGCAGCGACACACACACACATACATACATATCGGCCCAAATCCAGTTTTCCAGCCAAGATCGTCAGAGGGAAGGTCCCTTGTACGCCAACTCGGGTGATCAGGAGGGTGTGCGTGCACTTGATTCAACCACGCCAGCGAGTCCACTCAACCCACTCACCACCAACTCGAATGGATTGACCACGCGCGTCAGACACATGACGCTGAGACCGAGGTATCGACCGCGAGGCAGCACTGAAGGCGGCGCAGCAGCTGGAAGCGCAGCAGGAGCAGCGAGTTTTGCCTCTAGCTGGGCTGTTCAAAGGTAATCCTTAATCCCTGCCTGGGGTTACGCAACTCATCTGAAAGTGGCAAACCAACAGGCGATGTTTGAAGCCACCCTCTAGGGGGAAATTTGGTGTCTCTGTTCAGTCTCTCAAAATGGTGGGAGTTCCATTTGGTTTCCCCTTTAGCTCGCCAAAAGAGGCTAAGTTTTGGTCCAGGCGGCGGCTGTTCTGGTAGAGGTCACCGAGACCGACGCCGAGAAGCCGCCGAAAAAGGCACGGAGCGCGATGCGTGGCTCGGTTCCTTCAGCTGTGCGGAACGGAGCGGTGACTCTGTGCCGTCTATTCAGGGAGCCCTTTGGATTGGGGGTTTGGAGATTTAGAGCCGACCGCCGAGCTTCTTTTTGACACCAAATGGGGAAGGCACCCAAAATTCCGTGGTCCTGGTCCAAACCACAAAACCAAACCAGCGGTGTGGCGTAAGGTGAACTAGTAAAGGGGATGACGTGTGCACACGATCACCGATCGCCAGTAGGGAATGTGGGTTGCCAAAATGCAAGGTAGGAGGACCGCGGCTCAGCATGATGTAGCCAGGCGAGCAAGGCTGCCGATCTTTGGGCGCAGTGCTGTGACGAGGAGCCGGAATGCGAACAAATCTGCCTGCTTGGTGCGCAGGCGGCTTCATTCATGCCTTCAAGGTACGCTTGAACCTTCGGACCTTGCGTTTTTGTGGGTTTACAGTTTGGCATCTAGATCCATAGCAGAAGATTGCCGCACGACCACACAATGAGCCACAAACTGGATGGCTTCCATTTGGGTGTGTATTTTTGAGACTCACTCTCTTGGGTTTATCTAAAGGGGAACCAACAAGAACCCGAGATCTGTTTTCGGGGTACCCCCTATTTTGAGACCTACTCATTTGGTTTTCCTTGGCCCAAAAGGGGGGGGGGGTATCAGAAGTCGATCCTCGTCTCAGGACTTTGTGGAGCCGCCCGGCTGAAGAGAACAACACGGGGGAGCTCTCGGTTCGGTCGCCTCGGCCCTATTCACTGAAGCGTTAGGGCGGCCGGCTTCGAGGGTATTCCTCTGATTCGGATTGATTAAGACGATTCCCCCGCGGCTGGGGAATTTTTTTCATTTGGATTTGTTGGGTCTTCATGACTTTCTGGGTCTGCATTTGAGGTTTCTACTGTTGTTAATATCTTGCTTGGCTTTCTGGCTCTCGTTCACCCTCCACTTGAGAACCCGCCAGGCAGGCTCCAGAAGGGACCCTTCAAGACCAGAACCCTAAGATTCTAAGATCCTTTCCCGGGGCGGGGGAGGGGGGGGGTCTCCCGATTTGTACCCGGCGTTGTTTCATGAAGCTTTGACTTGATGAGCATTGAAAGAACCAATTCGGGACCTAGGCAATGAGACATTGTTTTTCGATCTAGATTCAATCTAGATAAGATAAAGCAAGATCATGGGCATGCACTTCTACATTTCGTTGGTTAGAGGTCATGTGACAGTTCGGCTCCACATTTGCAGCAGTTCTGTCAGTCCCTATATATCCCTTCTTGGTGGCTTTAAACAACCCTTTTGGCCCACGAGTTCCCCTTGGCGTCGTGGTGACCTTTTATGCTGGGATGCAAGTGTTTCTTAAGGACTCTTTCAGGCGTTAGTGTCCTTTTGGCTGCCTCTCAAAGCTATCCCAAAGTGGACCCCTATTTTGAGAAACACTCATAAAGGGAACCGTGGCTGAGTCTCTTTGACGCATCAGAATCAGGCGGGTTTTGGCTTGCACGGAGCCCACGGAACTCCATGCGCTGGAGCGAGAGGCTTGGTTTTGGGTGCCGGAGCCACGCATGTGTTTTGGAGCCGGGTAATGTTTACCTCGGATTAAGAACCCCCGGGTCGATTTACAGGGAGGTTGTCCCCTCCCCTCTTAGTGGGTGTCCATCACTTTTGGAGGGGACCCCACGCCCATTTCACTGGACGAGCTTCCTTAACGTTGTGCGTTATAATGAGGGGACCCAAGTTTCCTATTGGTAATCAAGCTGAAAGCGGTACTTTGAGACGGATAGAGGTTACAGCTTTGCTGCCGAGCCAAATTCGCACTGAGGGGGGACAGTTCTTCTTACCTGAGTTCCTGATTCAAAGCCGGTCGCGCCTTTTCCTGTTCGAGTGTCCTAATGATTCTTGCTTGCAGCATTGGCCAGTGCTCACCAACTTGTCAAGGGGTGGAAGCACGTCACAGGCAACCAGGCGCCAAAAGCGACTAGGCGACAGCAAGCCGGTCTGGAAAGATTGGGAACTGGATGATTTGGATGGTCCACCGCGCGCACTTGGACGACCCCAGCCTGTCGAAGTTTGCTGCTTGGCCGCAAGGCTTGGAAGCTGAAGGGCTAAAGTGGCGCAGGCAGGGCAGGCCGCAGTGGTTGGTGGGCGAGCGGGTGACAAGATAGTGAGCAAAAAAGAACGTTAAAAATGGGGTTGGTCCAGGCTGTCCACGGATGCATGGTGCAAATTTTTGAATGGCGGGGCTTGAGACTCGATACCCACCCAGTCCGGGCTGGACTGTTTGCCACATGCGGCCTTTACACATTTCCTGGGTGCATGCTGTGCCTTTTGTTTAGACTTAGCATGTTGACGTTCCTGGTTTAGGAGCGTGAGGGGAGGATACTCACAATGAGGACTTGTTTGGAGCAGGCTAGTGAAAAGGCAGTGGTCAGCTTTCTGAGCAGGCTGAGGCCCGTTGATGTGCATGCCATGTGGGCGGGGATGTTTGGCTTCTGGTGTGGGGGCGGTGCGCACTCAGGAACGCGTCCTTCCAACGTAACCCGTGTATTTCCTGGCTATTTCAACCGATGTGGCTATCTGCCCTTTCAGTCACTCATGGGAACAATTGAAAACCAACAACAGGTATAATTTCCTCCAGCTCCACTTTGAAAAGACGCCTAAAGGGCTGTGTCCGAAAAAGGGAACCGCGCCATGTCTGGGGGGGAGGGGGGGGTGGAGTTGGGTGTGAACTTCCCCAACTGGCCCAAACTCGAAAAGCCCGCGTCCCTAACCCCCCAATCCTCCCGTTCCAACGTTCCTTTGAGGACTTCACCAACCTGAAGATGCCCGATGGCAACCTCGAGCCCCGGGTGTCTCCCAAGCTGGCGGTGGCCATGGAAAGCCCCGTGGCGCACAATTTCTGCTTCGGGGCTTCGGGGCTTTGCGAGGTACCCGGTATCTCCAAAACCACGACAAGAATCTCAAAGCTCGGCGGAGAATCTCACACTTGTGATGGCCAGATGGGATTTACCTCACTGGAGCAAGGTATTGAGCAGAAGGTGCAACTGCAAAGTTAGACAAGGTGACCATATTTTTTTTGTATTCTCAAAGCGCGCTGCGGCACTGAGGCAACTCGCACATCGAGCATTTGCAGCTTGGCCGCGATGAGTGGCGTTGAATTGTTTGCTTGCTTGCTTGTTTGTTTGTTTGTTTGTTTGTTTGTTTGTTTGTTTGTGTTTTGTGCAAGGGTATCATTTTTCAGGCACCCGTTTAAACATTAATTGGGAGTTTGGATTGGTGGCTTGGGGATTTGAACTCCTGCTCCTTGTCGAGCGAACAGCTCCGAGGACTCCCTAGGATCAGTTTGCTCTTTTGTCTTTGGCCCTGGCAACTTCGGATGCAAAGCCACACTCGGCTGAGTGTGGTCCCTTTTGTGGGAAAGTCATTGGTTCTTCCGGGGCTAGAAAAGATGGTTCCCTTTCACAGGGGGCCGCGCCTTTCGTTGGGAGGATTCCTTGGAGTGTTGTGTGCCCGTGCGCTGATTTCTCCTTTCCCGGGGTTCCCGATTTATTTCCAACCTGTAAGCATCACCCCGCGCAGGAGCGTTGCCCTGGGATTGTTCTTTTAAGAAACCCAAGCGAACAACAAGGTGATGGTTGAGAGAGGGGAATCCCTGTCAAACCCAGTGGTACATGGGGAACTCTTGTTCCTGAGGCTGATGGGTTGCACGAACCTCCAAGACCAGGAGGCAGCCATCTTGGCCGTGTCGCTGCGCGCGAATCGCACGCTGAAGGCCCGGAGACTTTGGCAACAGGGCACACATGGGCGCGGATTTGTTGCGAACCCTTCACTTTCTTGGAGGGTACGTCTTTCGGTGTCGGTTCAAAGAGGAACCACTCTTATTGTGAGGGGTCCCCCATCTACAAAAAACCCAGCGGTTGGGCGTTAGCAGTTGGGCCAGCGCCTGCTCAAAGGTCCTGAACATCGACACCAATGCCATCCAGCCCTTGACATTGGAATCCATTGCGAACGGCACGAGCGTGAACCAGGCCTCCTTTTGCCGAAAAAGGGGGATGGGTTATGGGGTTCTGGCCCCCAAGAAGTCAAAGGGCACCGCCCCCTATCCTTTGGCTGCTTGTATTTGAGGGAGCGCAAGCAAAAGCAAAGACAAGATTTAGGGATTCAGCCTTTCAAAGTGTAGACTTGCGACCCAGGCGCTCTCAGAGCTGCGATGCAACAACTGCGCCAGCGGGCGCTTGGTCACGGAGGCCTTCTTGCGTGCCTTGAAGTCCAACCCAAGCCTCTGCAAGCTTGGGTACCCAGTGACGGACGCCTACTTCCGTGGGGAGATCGATTCTCGGCTGTTGGTACGGCTGACCTGGCCTTTTGACTTTGTGGAAAATGACGATTTCCTTTCTCGCCCGCACTAAACCAACAACTCGTCACAAAAGCTTTTCGCAGGGCGTCAAAGACCGGTGACTCTGAAACAAAGCACTTTGTGGGGTGTAAGACCAAGCTGCAGGATAAGCAGCTCACCCGCAACAACGATGCCGCGCGCAAGCGTCGGCTGGAGGAGAAGAAGCGACGGGAAGCTGAGGGCGACACCTCGCCGGCTGCGGCGCCGGCCGGGTATCCCAAGCCGGCGCCCAAGGCCGCCCCAAAGGCCGAGCCGAAGGCTGAGCCGGCCAGTGAGGTGGACAAGCCTGAGACCAAGGAGAAGGAGTGGGTGTTTTTCTTCTCCCCAAGGTTATCCAATGAATCTCAGCCAAAGGGAACTTTGGGAACATCCCCCTTGCAGGTCCTGAGGTCCGTTTTAAGTTGCCCGGCAGCCCAGTTACCTGCAAGGAGCCAGCGAAGGCGGATGCCAAGGCGCAGGCCGCTTTGGCATGAAAAGACCGTGCGTTTCTGAGGTGACGTTTGAAGGCGGCCAGCTTTGTTTTTTCCCAACCGCAGAAAGCTACGCCTCTGCCAGAATAAGCTCTGGGGTGGTGAGCAGCCTTCAGGGAGGGCTCGGACAGGTACAAGGACGTCCGGTTGGGGCTACCGCCCGGGTTCTGTTTTGGGAACCGGAAGGTGACAAAGCACCCCATTGTAACTCATTGAGATGGCAAGGTCAGTCCCTTCATGATGCATGACGAGGAAAAGTGCACGAGCCGTTGCAGTGTCTTTGTTCGTCGGTTCTTCTTGCTCTTGCTCCACTGTAGTCATCTTGATTCGCCGCAGGTTTGACTAAATAAAAGCTGCAAGGCCCCTGGAATTGATGGAAGCCCGAGCCAAGCCTGGTCCACCAGCAAGTTGTTCAAGCTTTTCTAGCTTGGCTTTGCTACAGCATTCGTATGCAGTGTGGATGAGGCTCAGTTGCGGCGTGCTGCCCTGCAGGCTGAGGCAGTTCCAGCCAGCGCTGAGCCAGAGGCAGTGAAGCCAGTGGAAAAACCGGACGATCCGGCCGAAGCGGCTGCGGAAGCCAAGGAGCCAGAAGCAAAGGTTGAGGCCATGGCACCGTTCATGTGATGCATGCAACGTATGTGATGCAGCCTTGTGCCAGATGGCAACTTCGCTTGGGAGTCATTGGGTCTTACGCCATTACGCTAATTACGCTATATGCTTTTGGCATTTGGGTTGTCGGCCACAGTTTTTCGATCAGCATGCACGCCCAAGTTTAAGCACACTATGACAGCCCCGGGGCGCCACCCATGAGTTTCGCAAGCATTTCCGGCTTGGCTTTGCCACAATAGATGCAGCATTCGTATGCAGTGTGGATGAGGCTCAGTTTGCTGCCCTGCAGGCTGAGGCAGTTCCAGCCAGCACTGAGCCAGAGGCGGTGAAGGCAGTGGAAAAGCTGGACGATCCGGCCGAAGCGGCTCCGGAGACGAAAGAGCCAGAAGCAAAGGTTGCGGCCAAGGCGCGCGTATTGCCAACAATATTGGGACCTTTTATGACATCATTCTCGTTTTGCTGATTAGCTTAGGGGGTGCATTCTGTACAGAACGCCAGGTCGCAGAGCCTGCAGAGGCAGCCTTGCCTGGCATGGTGGAAGTGCCGGCCTCGTTTCGCATTCCACTTCAATCCCATTCGAGTTTTGAAGCTTTCTTGCGTGTGATTGTGGCTTCTGGTTGGGCACGCCGGAGATTGCAAGATCGACTTGAGTTGAATGGAGCACGCGTAGGCAATGCCATGGCACATTGAGCCTGGGCTTGCACGTCCAGCGGATACATCTCTAAACAACTTTGCACCCTTTTGCAGTTGAAAGCTCATTGTTGGCATGCTGTAGAAGAGCCTTGGGCAGTGGCAGATCATGTTTGCCAACGAGAGGCTGTTGCCCTCCACGCCCAGGTCTACATCGGGGCCTCTAAGCCCGGAAGATAGTCTCCTGATTCCCCGGAGCCTTTAGGAAAGATTGACATTGGATATGGACCGCCAAGTTCAGGGCTAGTATTGGGTAAAGATGGTAAAGCAAAAAGCAAAAGCAATTGTACCAAACTGTGGGCATCAGGCAAGCAAGCCCTTCTGTTTTCCTGTGGGACGAGAACCTACATATGTCAAGCACCAGCTCGAGCCGCGCAGTTGTTGAGTCGTCCACACCACGTGGTTTCATGGGGTTGTAATTAGTATGTTATCGCAAGCTACCCTCCTGAAAAACCGCTTTGCGCGTTGGTAGAACCAAACGCCAATGGTTGTCTGGTGCCGGTCACAATTCCACTTGACCACCCTCATCGAGCCCCTAGCCTTTCACGATGCAAATGTCCACTGCCAATTGAGGCAGTCTCGCTCGCAGTTCGCCAGTCTGTTTGGGTCCCTGTACGTTACGCATCTGGCCCACTAAACCCGGGGCCCTTCCTTACCATGACCCCTGTCATTGCCAGACTACCTTTGTATTTGGCTTACTTGGTTCTATTCTACCTTAACTTTCCACCAGAAATCGGTTGTCACTTTTGCGGGTGCTCCGGTCCGTCCGATGTCCGGAGTCCGGCAAACCTGCCGTCGCCTTCGGATCGATCCGTTGTGCCGAGGCTCCGGTGCAGTCGCAGGTGTCAGCCACGTTGCGCCATGGCCCCGGCGGGCCGAGAGAGAGAGGGTGCCCTGTTTTAGGCAGCCAAAAGTGCAACCTATTTTGACACCTGCCCATTTGTGCATTTGGTGCTTTCCAAAACGATTTGGGCGGCAGTTCCCTGAGATCCTGTTCCCAATTGTCTTGCAAGTCCATGATAATTGGAGTTTGAATAGTTTCCTTCTTTGGGCAGGTCCTTTGGAGTTTATTTGGTCCATTTCCGATTTCCCCATGTGAACAACCTCTTTTGCAGTACCCTCGAACAATCATGGAAATGAGTTCTAGACCCGCAGCCTCAGTGGTGTTCCAACAATCTTCGGCTTCCATTGTGATTGAAGGGAGGCTAGTTTCCTGTACTTGGGTTTGTGTTGTTGTGATGGGGTTGCATCAAAAGGAAACCAACAGGCGCACATACCGATTAATTCAACTTTGTGGTGGTGGGAGTTCAGACTGGGCCATATTGAATACACGAGCATTGGCCCAAGAAGCAGGCGGAAAGCTGATCCCTCCTTCTTAGGGCTTCATTTCTGGGTGAGGAGTCAACCAATAGATGCCGTACAGGGGGTAGGTGGAGAATGATGCGCCCAACATTTCGAGTCGGTGTTTCTCGCAAAGCTCTCTTTTTAAATGGACGGCTACTTTTAGAAAGCCGCGCAATTTTTGAGAACCCCATAAACCGAACACCAGGAACGCACGTTTTCTCGTCTGCTCGGAGAGAGAAAGCCGAACGGTGAGGTGGGTACCTCTACAAGAAGAGCCCCTCCGCGCGCTTGCTCAAGTCCTGGGACTGGAGGCGGACTGCCGTTGGGCTCGGCTTGCATGGGACCTTCGCTGAAATTTGTTTTCCGCATCCGGTGAAGGAACCCATCTAAGGCACCCAAAGGGGATACCTATATAAGCGGGAAGGCACGATGGGCTGTTTGGTTAGAGAGAGTGAGAGAGAGAGTTGCCCACAAGAGGCAAAAGGAATCACACACACAAAACCTGGGTAGTAGTAGCAGAAAGTCCCAGACGAACGGTGCGCGCATCCGCCCTTGCAAATTCTTTACATTGGTTTGGGTGTTTGTTCAGAGTCCCACGAAAGATACACCTCAAATTCACCTGGTAGAAACTCATCGAAACAGCCGGAGGATTCTTTTTGTTTGGCCAAAACATGTCCTTTTCAGGGGTCCCTTCTTTTGGATTTTGATTGACGGGCTGCAGCTCAGATACTTCGTGCTGCACGAGGGCCGACTCATGTGGTGGAGGTGAAGGGAGGGGGGGGATGGGCGACGGAGTTCGGGTCTTTGCGCGTGTCTGATCTGTGTTCTCCTTCTTGGGTCTAATTCTCCCTGGTGCCTCGTTGGCCAATGCAGGAGTCCCCGTGCCTCCCATCCAGGCGATTATTTGGCTTTCGCGTAAGGATCTGCCGTGATTCAGCGTTGAAAGTTTTCCTCAGCTCACGCACCCCTTGTTTCCGCTGGGAAATCCAAAGAGCTTGAAGAGGTCGCGGAAAAAGCTTGCATCAAACTTGCCGGATGCATCTTGGGATAGTTGCCCGCCAGGAGAGACCGGGACCTTCCCTCCGAAGAGGTTCTGGGCCAAGCAGACCCGGCGGGATGCAAAGGTTCGGGGCTGAGGTAGCAAGGCTCGTGCTGAGTTTTCGGCCGATATTGTGGATCTCAAGGCCGGGAGCTAAGTCTGCCGGAGATGGAAACCAAAAGGAAAACAATCATCGGGAGGGGCCTCTTACCATCCCAGAGGTGATTCCCTGGAAGTCCCCAGGTACCCCTTCAAAGAGGAAGGTCCTGATCGAAAAAGGGGAGAGCTTCCATGGAATCGCCTGAAGTAGGATATGTTGTGGGTTTGGGCGACAATGCAGCCTGTTCTCAGCAATGCCAACCTTTATAAGTCATGTGGGTAGAGCACACGGTCAACGGGTGACACCACCGCGCTCAAATGGGGTGTCTTTTTTGGAAGGTGCTTTTTTTGGGGTTGGCTTAAGGGGAGGCCAAAGGAAGGCCAGAACTTTCGTTGAGCTTCTCCATGTTGGAGTCAGCCCCATGTTTTCGCCCCAGGCTTTGTGAACCTAAAGCTGAGCAGCGCTAACGTGGTGCCGGACAAGACGAATCCCATGATCTTCGCCCTGGTACCTGCAGGCGGTGCTTGGAAGGCGGGCGTGATCATAAGCCGCCGTCCACGGCTTGAGTGCTGAGGGCAACCACCTTCACCAGGGTAAGTGAATCTTAAGGGACAGCCGTTTTAATTCTACGTGATGTGGGAGTTCCCTGGCTTTGGTATGGTCGGGTGAAAGCGGATGCCGCAATGCCGTCAGATTCACCGTGCCCATGGCATACTGACAGGTGACATGGGAGTCGTGCCATCGACTTTACATTCTCGTGTGCAGGAACCTCTTGTTGCTTCTTAGTTCCCTACTTGCAGCTGGGACTTGTTTAAACCGACTCACGGCCCCGGGTTTGATGTTGACCCGTGCCCGTCTTGTTGCCAGGAGGGATCGCTCAAGGCGTGCTGGGACGGGCGGGGCCATGAAAGCGAGCGTCCAAGCGGATGGGATGTCGGGCCCGCAAACCTGCATTGGGTTTTGCCCACAAAACAACAAAACATGTAAATCATGTTTGTTGCACCACAAAAGGACGAGAAACTGGCACCGTATGTGCATCGACAAGGCTGGAAGGCAAACATTTTATCCTGGTCGCTTGTTCAATGACATGTGTTGGCCATTACGGGCATGGGCGAGCTCCTCGAGTAAAACAAGGTGTGCCCTTTTTGAGGCTCGTGCCCTTTTCTTTTGGGGCCGGTAGGGGGGAACCAAAAGGAAGCCGCCCATTTTGCGGGTTCCCCGGTTTTTAGACAACCCAAATGTGGTAGTGAAAGGGATTCGAGTTTCGAGCAACAGACAAATGTCCAATTGACCCATTTGAATCGCAGGATATGAGCGATGCTTCGCGGGCCTTTGAGTGGCTTGGCTTTATATGGCGTGATTTTTTGAGGGTACCCCGTTTCAGCAAAGGGAAGCCAAACATGTTGGCTAGTGCGCTTTGCCTTTCGACCAGCGGTTTCAGGGGCACAGCGCCTGCCTTTGCATTTTGGCCACTTGCATAAGTAGTGCCACCGCAAGAAGCTCTTTGATCCTTCTCAGCTCGTGCAGATGGCCCATGCCACAAAGAGGCGCCTTTCCAGAAAGACACCTGCACATGCCAAAAGGCTGCGAGTTGCGTGTCCTGAAGGTTCAGCAGCAACCGTGCTTGGGGCGGGCTGTTTGTGGCGCAAAAGGGGGCAAGGTAAGCCAACTGCTCAACGGGCAGAAGTGCCTCCATTGCAGGTCTTTTTCAGTCCTCCAACTGATTCTTTATGTTGGCGTGAGGCAAAGCGTCAACCAACTTGTGCCGCAAACAGTTTGTTCTGTCTTGTTGACCAATCAAGAAGGGGCTGCCCCCCCAAAAAAGGCGCGCCCGACCGCCCACGGCTTGAGGTTTGATTGCACTTCCTCGGCCCACAGCCGAGAGGAGTGGATGAAGGCTTTAGGCGCCTGAGCTGAATGTTGAGCCCGGGAGTCCTGGGCGCGTGTAATGATCTTGCAGGCTCATCTGGAAGGCACATCTGGCAAATTGAAGTTCAATGTTTGGAATACCATGCCTCAAGAATGGCTGGCAGTTGTATCGTCTTTTCCAACCATTCAGATGATGTCCCACCACTCTATAGTTGCCTTTTATGTTTAAGCTCATGGTGATGCTTGAATCCCATGCACCCAGATTTGAGCCTGGCATGCTGACTATGCGCCTGGTCGCGCTTGGCGGTGGGTCGCACATTCGCTTTTCCTAGGGGCAGGGCCAAGCCTTGCCTCTGCGTTTTGCCGCAAGAGTCTGTGTGGCCAAGCCACACAGCAGAAGAGAACTCGTTGAACGCTTAGAAGTGGTGCACGGACTTTCTTCCCAGGCACGGCAGGTTTGCTGAGCGCACTTCCCTTCGGAAGTGGCTCTTTGTACATTCCATGTCGGAGGGCCTCGCGGGCACGTTTTTCAGGTTCCTCAAAAAGAAGCCAGGGGGGACAAGCCCATGCCCTAATTTTCACACGCGTTGATTCCATTGCTCTCGTGGTCGCAGCGTTCTTTTGTGGCCCAAGTATGTAGTTCCAAACCTCGGAGCTGTAGGACATGGTGCTGCTTGAGGCTGGGGGCTTTTGACCTGAGTGCCATAACCAGGAGACTGCCTTGGGCAAGAGGGTGGGCACAGTCCAAAGCCTAAAACCGATGCGGCAACCCGTTTTCGATCATGTTGACATTGGGGAATGCCACGGCAGGCCGGCATGGAGCTCGTTTTCTCCCCCTGTCCCAGGCTTTCGGGCTTGCCTCGGCAGAGCTTTTTCAGTACAACCGCCCTTGGGCCGCACAGTGAGCAGCACTTGGAGAGTCTTTGCGCCAGGGTGGTTTAGCTTTTTGCGTTTTTGTGGCTCGCAAGCGGCGCTTGCTTCTGACAAGCTGCTCTTCACGTTTTTTTCATTGTCCAGCCTCCCAGCCTCTAATCAGGCGACCCCAAAAGGGTTCTAACAAACGGGTCCCAGCTTGCACCAAGGAGCAATCATGTGCATAGCATCTGATCGAGCCCAGGTGTTAGAGCCCATTTTGGGGTCACCCAATTTGCGCGCCTCACAGTTGCTCAGGAGAGAATTTCCAGTTTGACAATGAGCAGCGGATCAGCCGAGATGTTGCTTGCTGGCAGTATAGCCTCCGCGTCACCATTTCTTGGCATAGGCAGCGCCAGACCGGCCCAGAGCAGGGGCCTTCCTTTTCGGGTGATCAGACATCACCGTGGTCAACATTAGAGGAGTTCCCCCCTGGTGATGACGCAATGGAAGTGTCCAGCTTGTCAAAGCTAGCGCTGCCCTGCGCCCAGGTCCAGAAGTACAAGATGCAAGTGGAACGCTTCGAGCTGTTCCGCGAAGACATCGAAGATCTCGTCAAGCTCACGGTGGACAAGATGGACTGCTTTGAAATCTCAACCCCCGTTTGGGACCCGTTTGTGGCATTTTGGGCCTCGTTCTTGTTGAGCTCTTAGCTCATTTCCCCACACCTTGGTTGACTTGCCCCGCCCTTGCCGACGGATTGGCCCCTAGTTTGACACGTACCCATGAAGTACAAGCCCTCAACTCTGAGGGGTCCCTAGGTTTCCCTTACCGGACACAAACATCACCTTGTTCGGCCAGGTGAGTTTTTTTTGGGATCGGGGTGATGGTTTCAGGGAATATGGGGAACCCTGCCTGGGGCTCATTTGGGCAGAAGTCCCCTGAGGGTTCCTTCCGAACCCTTGGCAGGGGGGTTGGAATATACCCCTAGGCTGATGGGAAGCCTCGGCGCATCAATCCAACCGCTGAAAACGAGGTCGTGTGACCCCCGTTTTGATGTTTGTTTTGACAGTTCACCACTGGACACCAACTAGTTTCGGGGTTCCATGTTGTGTCTTCTTTAGGGTACACCCAAAATGGTGGTTTGCCTTCTTGCTTCCCTTGCCCTCAAAAAAGACGTACCCATATCCCAGTGAACAACTCCGTTGGCAGGACATGTATCATCTAGTGTCGGCGGTGGTCCTGGGCTTTACCACCAGCGTCTTCACGGAGGGCCGCATTTGGGCTCACTCCCCACCTTCTTACATCGCGGTGTACTTCATGACCATAGGCAGGGGTCCCTATGTTTACCTCCCGTTTGCTCCGAAAAGGCAAAGGAGTCGAGTGGCATTTTCGATTGGGTCCTGGGTTGTTGGAGGTGGGATGAGACATGATTCGGGCAGCGTATAATCGTCACAAGTGGTATCTGACCTCCTTACCTCAAACAACCCGCTTGAACATGCCGTTCATGATGAGGCGAGTACTGTTGTCAAGCTTGCTGATGTTGTTGCTCCGGTCAGGCTGCGGCTGGTTGTACCTTCTGATGACGGTGTGGCTGAGCATGTGCCCGGGGAGCGCAGGCGATAGGATTGTAGAAGAGAATGGGGCATCAACTCTAAGACTTCTGACTCAGGACGCATGCCCATTTGGAGGGAGAGGTCCAAATTCTTATTTTGACACATCAATACAGCGAGTGAGAGCCTCCCCCTTCCCCCCCCCCCCATCCCCCCATCCCCCCAATATTTCTTCCAGGTATGCCTCCATCTCTTCCCACAGCCTGGGGGTGCGCCTGCGCACCCGCTATGTGCGCTTGCCCATCCCCAGCATGCAGCAGCTCGGGGGCCCGGTGTGTCGTTTGGGGAATTGTTTGGCTTTTGAGGTGGGAAGCCCCAAGAAAAGTCGTTGCCATTTGGGGGGGGGTCCCCAAAAAGGGTCACGGCCTCGCGAGCGCACGTGGTTTTCGGCTCGCAGGCGCACGTAAATTTGGTCTCGCCCGCGCATGTCGAGGGCTGGATTTCGTGGTAGGTGCGGTACTTTGGGCAAGTTACGGCAAGTTTTTCGTGGGTCTCGCCGGCGCATGTGATACCGCGCATGTCCCCCAAAAAGGCAAAGCGCGTGAGCCTCGCACGCGCGTGTAAGCAAAACCGTACTAGTAGCGTACGCGCGCGCAAGCCTTTCATCCATGCGTGATCCCATCCAGGGATGCACGGGGCGGTTGCGTCTTGCACTTGGCCTCGTGCTTCTTCTTCATGTCGCTGGCTTTTCTGCGTGCTCTGCAAAGGAAGCGGCCACAGGGACGCTCTACGTGCGTAGTGTCGCGCGCGCTTGGAAGTGAGCGGCTAGAGGGACGCTCTTCGAAGGTCAACACGAGGCGACCACACGTTCTTACCACGCGAGTCGCGACACGCAGGCGTAGCGCAGCTCAAGCAAACGGAAGTCGCGCGCTCTGCCTGCCATGATGAGTGACCTCAACACGGCGGCTCCGATCACGTCCGAGGACATCGCGCGTATGCAGGAGCTTAGGCGCGCGGCAGAAAAAAGCAGGCAATCCTCGCGGAGGCTGTGAGCACGCCTGCGATATCAGGCGGCGCGTCGATTCATGTCGCGGCGGCCGCGGCCGCATTAGAGGCAGCAGCTCGCTACTTGCGAGAAGCCGCTGCTGAGATACAGGACTTTTCGAGTAGCTTCCCGCCCGAAGAGGCGTGGGATGTAGCTCTCGCGCTCTCGGTCCTAGCAAAAAGTTTTTTTTTCAATCGATATAGGCGGCGCTGGATATAGGCGGCGCTGTCACTGAGGGGGACGCTAAAAGGACAGCGCGCAAAGAAGCGTGTTGGAAAGCAAGCGGCCAGAGGGACGCTTTTCGCGCGGAGTGTCACTCGCGTTGGAAAGTGAGCGGCCAGAGGGACGCTCTTCACACGTCAAAGCGAATCAGGCTGACATTCCCAGCGCATGAGTCGCGGCACGCAGCGTTGGAAGTTACGCGCCCTGCCTGCCATGATGAGGCGCGCTTCCTCTTTCGCGTGCGTGGGTGCAGTGCCGAGCGGGTGCGCTTGAGCGGGTGTGCTTACCATCCCCCCCACCCCCCCCCCACCCCCCCCCCACCCCCCCCCCCACCCGCATGCGTGGATGCAGGTTTGCTTCCTCTTTCGCGTGCGTGGAGGCAGTGCCGAGCGGGTGCACTTGAGCGGGTGTGCTTACCATCCCCCCCCACCCCCTCCCGCCCACAAGGAAGCCAGGTCCTTTCTGGAGCTAGATTTCGTGGCAGGCGCACTATTTTGAGTGACTTGGAGCGCTCACGTGCTCCTGTGAGACCCAAGCCGCTGCGTGCTCCGACGCTTGAAAAGCTGCGCCCGCGCGCTCAGTTGGCACGCGCATGCTTGTGAAGCGACCTGCGTGAGTGCAGTTGAAGCCAGGTCCCGCGTGGGTTTTGCAGCTGGGTTTCGTAGCAGGCGCGCTGTTTTGAGTGGTTTGGAGCGCTCACGTGCTCCTGTGAGACCCGAGCCGCTGCGTGCTCCGACGCTTGAAAAGCTGCGCCCGTGCGCTAAATTAGCACGCGCACGCTTCTGAAGCAGCCCGCGAGAGTGCAGATGTGGGGCTGGATTTCGTGGCAGGCGCAGTACTTTGAGCGACCACATGCTCCTGTGAGACCAGAAGCGGCTGGAGTGTCCACGTGTGCCGGTGAGACCGAAACCACGTGCTCCTGTGAGGCCCCCAGCCCCAAAAAGCTTGCGGTTTTAGGCGGCTCTTTTTTTTCACCGTCTTGGCCCTTTTGGGTTGGTGGCTGAACGAAAATCACCGTTTCGGGCCTTGTGGGATGGGGAAGTTGCCCTCAAAAATCGGAGTTTATTTGAAAGGGAAAGAGCTTTGCCTTTCTTGTAGGGGGTTTGTGTCAAGGGGACAGAACGGAAACCCACTTGAAGGGCCCGCTTCCATATTTTGAGACACCCCCCTAAAAAGTGAAATGCGCTTTTAGCCCGCGCATTTTTGATTGGGCAACTGGTTTGCAGGCCAGCGGCTTGTCAGACCTCACAGGGTTTGACACAGAAACCACCAAAGCGAAGTGGCCAGGGCTGAATCAGTGATCAGTTGGTCGGGTTGGCGCGCTTTGGGTTGTTTCTCTGGCAGTTTGGGGATGTCCGGCCTGAGCGGCGGGATGATTGAGAGTGTGTTTGTGGCGGCTGCTTTTCAAATTCTGCTCAGTTGGTGTGACCCCTTCTCTTGAGGGCAATTGGGAAGCCGCCGGAACGGCTCTCAGCCAAGCTTTGAGTCCGGCTCCGCTCTTTCAGGTTGTACGGCATATCTTCCAAGTTGCAGGACTTCGAGCAGCAAGGCGTGCAGAAGGCGAGGGCGCGAGGGCTTGCCGAACCGCAGGCGCAATACTTCGTTGACCGCAAGCCAGCGGGAAACGACACGGTGAAACTCATGCAGGGTTTGGCGCCCACTTGCAGTGAAATGACACGTTGGCGCAAAGTCCAACCTTTTGACTTTTGAGTTCGATCTGAGCCTTTGACATTTTGCACTTTCTCTTGCGAACTGCGATTCGTGAAATTTGCAAGCAAGCAACACTGGCAGTGTCTGCAAATGAGCCTCACTGCAGCACACGTCTGAAGTCGGGAGGGTTCTATTTGTGTGGCGCAGCAGCTACGGAAAGCTAGGTGCAATCTTCAAGCCAGAGCTATGCAGTAAGATAGGTAACAAAAAACCAACTGGCTAGCTAATTAGCTAACTATCTGAGCACGAAGCTATCCAAACAAATGGATGAAACACAGAGAAATACATAATGAGCTAATACATTCGTCAACCAATTCAAACTGACTAGAAACATAAATGATGAACTTCCGTAAACATTCCACAAACACAAGCTCGCACACACACACACACATATGCAGCAAAGGCAAGTCTTATATATGCATATAACACGCATAAATACACATACATATATCTCTATATATCTATTTACAAATGCATAGACAGTTAGAGACGGCGTCTATATGCTCACCGGGGAAGACGGCTCCATACCTCAGCGTGACCTGCGCACAATGAGACCACACCAATTTACCACGCATCGCGGGCATGGAAGCGGGGAACTTACGCGGTGAAATGCCTTCAGGAGAGGCTCGATCGCGACCATAACCCAAGATTGACAACCCCACTGGTTGACGATGGGGGGGGTTCCCAGTTTGGGGATCCGGACCCCTTCTGGGGAGCTTCCACATTCTGCCGACACCTTTGGGGGCAAAGTAAGCACCGCTAAGACATATACAACTAGTAAAGTCTCAAAGTAGGATATGGACCCCCGAAAATTTGTGGTTCCTTTCGATTTTCCTTTAGTTCTTCGGGTTCTACTTGGACCCGGTCTTTGGAAGGAGTTCCGCACCATGCCAGCTCCATTTTTGTGTGGTGGTTTTAGACATCGCCTTTTGGGCTCATCAACCTGAGCCGTTCGCGGAACGGCCAGATGCTGCGGCTGCCATTCGGGCCACAAGGCACGCCCCAGTGGCAGTCCCCGGGCCCCGGGGTTGCAGCGCCGGCACCTGGCGTGGCAGGCGGGGTGCGTGGGGGGGAGCGGGGGGTTGGGTTGCTGTCTGGGTGCTTTTTGGACCTGGGGAAACATGTAGGGCCTTAAAGGTGTCCCAAAACCAAGAGAGAGAGAGAGAGAGAGAGAGAGAGAGAGGCAAAGAGAGAAAAAACATTGTTTGCTTGCTAGAAACAAACGAAAGAAAAGCACACAACCAAATTGACACAGTATCTGGACACGTGTTTTTCTGCGCGCCAGATGTGAGCCAAAGTGCGAGGTTGACCAAACCAAAGAGTCCTCATGGTTTGCTGGTTGCAAAGCTTGGCGCCTGATCGTGGCATGGCCAAGTCGTCGTGCTCTTCTGCAGATCCGCAGTGGGCGTATCATACATCCGTCCGTGCGACTCGGTCTCTTCCTTTGTTTTCAGCATGGCACGAGATCGCGCCGCGCATAGGTAAGTTCTTATTCCTTCAGATGGTTCCCTCGTTTCTTTGGGCTTGGGGTCGTCCCACAAAGCGGCTGATTTGTTCCCTTACCACCCATCAGCTCAGAATGTCACCTTAATGGACCCAGACCAGATGTCACGCCCAACGCACTTGAAGATTACTTGTTGTTGTCCTCTGTTAGTTCAAGCAGCCTTGAAGGGCCCAAAAGGTGATCACCTCCAAGTCCTTTGGTTTGCACTGAGCATGCAAAAAAGAACGTGGCATGCGGCTTTCGTGGATGGTTTTGGGGAATCCACCGGATCAACTGAGAAACGGAAGGCGAAGCGCAGCAAACCATGGCAGAGCATTCCTAATGAGCCACAGGTGTCGATAGGGTGCCACCTCTATGCATTGTCACGCGTGCCATTTCCCCAGATTTCAAAGTGGAGTTTGGTGATGGGATTGGTGATCTCAAGGTTAGGGGGGTAGCTTCCCCTTGAGTTTTAAGAGGACGCAAACTCCAATACCGATCCAAACCAACCATTTTGTGTGTGATTTTTGTCTCCAGCGAGAAACATGCAAGACACCCTGCGCATGCGCAGGCAGCAGCCGACCCTTCATGCGCACCGGCTCCGAGGCAGCGCCATTTGCGCGTAGAATCTGACTACAGTTGCCTCAAACCAAAGCAAGAGGACTCCGCACGCGTTTTTTTGTTTTTGAATTTGGAGTTGCCCGCTTTGTGATTGTAGAGCTTGGAAAGCCGTTGGCTGCTGCTGGGGTTTGCAGCACGGAGAGGCAACACATGTTACCCACACAAACCGCACATCGCCCGACCCAAAAGCTTTCGTATGTGATGGCGAGCTTCGCACGGTTGCTCGCAATGGACCAGGAAGGGGGTTTCAAGAGGCAAAAAGGTTGCTCGTCCACAAATAACTGGAATCCAAAAGCTCTTCAAACAGTGTCTTTTGTTCGGATGTTAAATCTGCAGGAATGTAAGCAGGAAGGCAGGCTGGCAAAAGATGGGGGGAGGCCTCTATCTTATATTTTCCTCCAGCTGAAAGGCACCTGGGCCCATAAATGTTCATTCCTACTTTTCTCCCCAGTCCGGCCGGGAATCATTACATCCGTGCTCACGCTGACCCGCAGAGAATTCGGCTTGGCAAAACTTGCAGACGAGATACATGGACTGTCTTTGCAGACAGCGTGCCACGAGCCAGCTTGCGGTCAGTATCCTGTTTGGGGAGCTGCAAGGGGGCTTTCACTGCGCAACCCTGACCCAAAGAGTGGTGTCCAAAGGAAGTGAGAAGTGAGGCAGCGGTTTAGTCATTGAACAACAAAGCGCTAAATTGTCCAATGTCTTCTTGCGCAAACAAGACCATGGCTCAGGTGAAACTTTGAGGTCAACCTTGCAGAAGACCCTCAGACAGCTGGGTGGTGTAGTCGCCCGGGAGACTCGGGGGACTAAACCAAACACATTTTCAGAAAGCATGGTCTGGGTGTTGACCCAGCTTATGGAAACCCATCTTTGGGTGTGTCTTAAATTACAGGCCCCCCCTGAAAGCGGTGGTTTCCCTTTTGGCTTCCCTTTAAATCAACCCCAAAAAGAGTACCCTCAGAGAAAACACCCCTATCTTTGGGTTCAACAGTTGTTTCATTTGACGGGTTCTTTGGCTGCCAAAGTCAGTTGTCCAAGCCATGCCTTCGAGCTGCGCCATGCTGCGATGCCTGGGGCTGGCATTGGCGCTGCCGGTTGTCCTTCCCGTGGCGGCGAAGCCACGGGAGCTGTTTGAGATTGGAAAGGCGTGGATTCTGAAAGACCGGGGGGATAGCGGACGCCAGGGGTCTATGTTGCAAGATAGCTTACCCTTTTGCTCCTTTGCCTAATCTCTCTCTCGCTCGCTCTGTCTGTCTGTCTGTCTGTCTGGCTGGCTGGCTGGCTGGCTGGCTGGCTTTGTCTCTTCAGCAAATGTTGTCAAGTCTTTGCAGGGGGGGGGCATATGCTTGGCTGAGAACATCGCATACGGCCTGCCTATTTAAAGATGAGTTGCTCGGGGGTATCTCTTTTCAGCCTTCGGAATCATTTGTGCACAATGCAGCCCTTGCCAAGTTTGGTTGTACCGTACTCTAGGGGCCGATTTCATTTTCAAATGGCCACCCAAATGGGGTCGCCGGGCACTTGTTCAATTAAGTGCTCAATTATGATAGTCAGTTGTTGAAGCCCGTCCGTTTAACCTTTTGGGTTTCCTCTTCTTTTGTCCATATTGAGGCCAGGTCCTTTCAGCAAATGAGGGTAAGCTCGTTGAAAAGAAGGCGAATGCGTCCTGTCAGGTGGACATTGAGACGGGCTTGGAGCCCTTCTTCGAGGGCAACATGGCGCCTTGCCTCTCAAAAGTCGGCAGCGCGCAAAAGGCCCCGGCAAGTAGTGCCAACCCCGGGATGAGTGAATTGGTGTTACGAAATAGGGGTCACTCCATTTTGTTGAATCGTACCTCCTTTTTGAACACGGACTCGGTTTGCAGGTTCCAATGTGGATTTGCTTGGGGGGGGGGGTGGGGCACATGAATGTGCAGGAGGACAGTTTTCCTCTTGGAAAGGAGCCTGTGCATTTCCATGTCTGTTGGTAGGGGTATGTGCATACCCTCCGAAAGCGGTTGCGTACTGGTTGTACATCCCCATCTTCCCTTGGGGCCAAGTACCCAGTTGAATCTTATGACATATGAGTTATCAAAACCAGTTTTTGGCATCCTTGAAAAGCTGGGACAACACGGTCCCGTTTTGGGGGGATAGCTTTTCCAACCAGTAGTCTAAGTTTCATTTGCGAGGGACATGAGGAAACTCACCAAATTTCAACCACAACTACCAGGGGACTCATATTTGTCCATGTCCATTGAGTTGATGGGAGCTCCAAATCAACAGACACCTTGCTGATTCCTAGGGGCGTGTGCCCTAATCCCGTCTTGCGGGGCTTTCCTCTAATCCGAGATCACGATTTTTGGGTTGGCATGAACCGCATATGAGCAATGCTCAGTATATCCCGTCACCTACCGTAAAGGGATGACATTGAGGACACGATTGGGGGCTAGCACCACAATCCCATGTCAAAACATATTCCTTTGTGCCCTTTGCTCAAGAATATTCCGATTTTGCCCTTCTGGTTTTCCCAGGTCTGTCTTCTTTTGGGGACCTCCCCCCGAAAACAAGAAGAAAAAAACAGACAACTCAAACAAATGCATTTCGGGTGGTTTTCCTAAAAGGGGAACCTCGTTGTCAAGGAGCCCTTCGGCGTGGTGTGCGTGGCCTACGTCAAGGAGGGCGGAGCCAACCACCGGCTCATGAAGAAGCTCTCAGCAGCAGCTGAAGTCTCGCCTTTCCTGGTTGTTCAACCAGTTTTAGTTTTCCCCTTTGAACTTTTCCGACTTGTTTGCAAACTTTTAGTTTGCCATCACTTCCCCCTTTGACCTTTTTGGGGTCTAAGGAAGCTGGGCGCGGTCACCGAGGAGGACGAGGCCCTTTGGACACTTCAGGCGTGGGGAGGTCGGCCTGCACGCTCCGACCAATCCGGAAGATGACTCGCCAGTTTTGGACATATTTTACGTGGGGTCGAAATCAATCCGTGAAGTCCTGCCCAGTGCGCTGACCGGGCCATTTGAACCTCTAGGATGGCCGCTCCTGGTTGCAATGCTCAGGGTTTTTGCGCGCACGCATGCGCAAAAACAGGCACAGCACCAACACAAGCACGAACAAAAGTGCGCACAGAGGCAGATGCGTACACGCATGCATCAGCAGAAGCACAAACACAAAGAAGAGCGCGCACCCACCGAAGCTCAACGCAAACCCTTTCCCCTAGAACCGATGGACTTTTTGTCTTTTTTGGGAGAGTTTCTTCTTCATATCAGCGCGGGTCCAGTCAATCAATTTGTCAGTCCCTACATTTTCCGCTTCAGCAGTTTAAACATCATTTTTGGGCCACTGTCATTATATATATATATATATTTTTTGGTGGTGTGATGTTTGGCGGTCAAATGGAGGGTGCGCTTTCGATGCTCAAGGCTTGTAAGCTGATTTCTTGGAGGTGCCCATGGCGGCGGCCTTGGACTGGCGGAGCGAGGAGTCCGTGGCGCTGGTGCGGCGTAGCTATGCGGCGTCGCTGTGGGCGATGGTGCAGCAGGGGCCGCTGGACGCCGAGGAGTTGGTGTTCACGGCCAAGGGCGCGGGCGCGTGGAAGGATCCTGATGGGTGGAGGGGTGGGGGGGTGGTGTTGTGGGGAGAGAGGAGGGGTGCGGGGATTGCGGACACTTGGCGTCTACTTTGTAAATTATGGTTTAAACAGTCTGTAGGTGTCCACAACTTAAAATGCCCCAATGAATTGATTCTCTATTGGGGGCGCAACAGTCTTAAGGCTGGAGGAGGGAAGGCGTGGGTGTCAGGGGCCTGCTTCCATGTAAGGATCAAGTAGCCAAGGTCCGTGGCAGTTTTGAGGGTTTTTCCTTCAGTGCACTTGTTCAGCGGAAAACGGCCGACCCTGGGTGCGGGGGTTTCAGTGGGAGACTGAGGGTGCAGTCGGATGCTGTTAAGCGCTCTTGTTGGCTCCCCTAAGTTTCACTTTCGCTGTGTGTATGTTGGAAACTATCAGATGTATGTCTGTCAGTCAGCTGACGGCTGTTCATGGAGACAATCTAGGCAGTTTCAATGTGATTGGAGCTGAAATCCACCTCTTCGTTTTGGTTCTCCTTTGTGAATTACTTTGAAGAGAACTCTTTGCTGTGGATCCTGAAGGTTGCCGGGTCACGAACAAGGCAGGTCTTTGGCACCGCTTCTCGGTGCCTTGCGCATTGCGCGAAGGAAAAGGAGCTCCGGAAGTGGCTCCTGCAGAATGCCTACCCTACCATCAACTACCGGGTGCCAGGCGTTAGTCAGTAGTTGGTTCAGCCAGACCCTGGCCCCCTTCACAAGCAGAAGTCAAGGGTCTCCCCCAAAACACGTTTTCTTGTCTTATGGTAGATGAGATATGGACCGCGTTTCCTATGTATCGCAGATGTGCGCCAAGCAGCAAGAAGTGTTGGAAACAAACAATTGTTAAAACCATGACTCAAACCGGTTGAATTGTAACGATGCCAGGCTATAGGGGCAAGAAGCACCCCTTCCCCTTCGACAAGTACTTCGGCAAGGCCAACTCGGGTGGGGTCGGCCTGGTCTTGGTGAAGATGAAGGACCCTTACGGCAACGGAACGTGGCCAAGCTCAAGGGTCCTGAGGGGCCAATGGAGCTGAGTGGCCAATTTTTGAAGGAAGGAACCCTAACAAGGGGGTCGCCTTCCCCCAAAAGAAGCACCTATCTCTTTTTATATCATTTAGTTAAATGACATCATACGTAATTGGCCAACCAAGCAAGGAACTAAACAAATCGGGAACTCAATGCAAACATTAGTTAAGTAAGCAAAGAGGTTATAGATATAGACGAATGCATAAAGACAAAGAACAAGACCAACACATTGAACAACTGTACAGAGATACATCACCAGCTAAATAATTTCACGGATGAACAGACACAACACCCGCACAAACACAAAACAGCTGAATCAATGAATGATCAGTTGAACAGATACATACATGATGCATGATTGAATGCAGAAGTAAC